ATTCATTATCTACTTTTTAATATCCATCATCCACTTTTTGTTATCCGTCATCCACTTTTTGCTATCTATTAACTGCTATCAATTACTATTATTCATTGTTTATTACTTACTACCTGCTAAATCTTAACCGTTATACTAAACTCACCTTTAGTGTGACAATTGTGTCTGATTTATCATATAATTATAGCTATTACAAGTGTTGTATTATATCATCATAAAAAATATTTTAGTGTTTAGTAATTATATTTTAAAAGAATTATCTATAATAAAATTACTTAATTAGACATATTATTATTTAAAATTAAATTAATTAATAATTTAATATATAATAATAGAAAATTTTTGAGAATTTTATCAAATTATTTAAAATTTAATTAATTTTGAATAAAATGATTTTTTTAAATGTAAAAATGAATAATTTATCATACACATAAATTACAAAAAAATTTATAAATATCTATAAAAAGTACTGTATCGACCCTTATCAAATAATTAAACTTACTGCTACTAATATTTTTAAATTTTCTGTGAAGCCCTCTAGTTTTTGAGATTTTGATATTTCTTTCTGCATTTTTTTTCTATTTCTTTCTGCATTTTTTTCTATTTTATATTTCAAATCGTAAATGTCTTGTGTACATGCATATAGCCATGGAGTATCCACAATTCGTTTGTTTTCCTTTTTAAAATTGGAGTTAAAAATTATAGCCCAAAAATCATAAATCAATGGATATTAAATTATTTTTATTTTTATTTTTATTTTTATTTAAAACCTAATGATTAATTCATAATTTTTAACCTCAATTTTGAGTCATGATTTTTGAATTAGTGAATCATAGCTTTTAAAAAATAAAAGAAAATACTTTTCTCCTTGGCTAAACAACAAAACAAATTTAAGAAAAGTCTATTTAATTTAATGGTTTTCTTTCATTTGTTATTAATACGCATCTTTTGTTTGCAATGCTCAATTATATTATGCTTTAATTAATAAAATGTCCCTTTCTTTTATTTTTAGCTAATTGACATATTGTAATATTTTATATTTTTATAAGTGAAGAAGATAATTTACTTAGTTAATTGTTCCAAATATTTGAATCCCATAGGTCCCTAATTTAGTAATTTTAACTCTAGAATTAAGAATTTACCTAAGATTCCTTAGATACAAATGTGTAAATTTTTTGGGTCAAAAAGTAACCAAAAGAAGCACCTGGCCTAGAGGCCCATTGGCTCCCCCCTCTTGAGCGGGTTTCGAACCCGCTCCATATCAAAATGTAAAAAAAAAAAAAAAAAAAGAAGTAACCAAAAGAAAAAAGAAAAAAAGGAGAAGAATTCAAGTGAAAACAAAAAAAAAAGTCGTTAGAGGTGCATGAATGGTAAATTCGGGGAGGAGACGGTCGACGTTGACGGTACTGTATTAAATACACGGATGATCTCATAAACTTTGACTAACCTTAAAATTAAAAATATAAATTAAAAATACATTTATTGTATCTTTTATTATTAATTTTAATTAAAAAATTATAAAAATAAATTTTATTTTTAA